TTCGGCACTCCCCAACACCCATTTCGGCACACCCCCCTAACGTTTCGTGGCCCCATAGGGATCTCCACCGAAGGTCGGGGGGAGCTTGACACTGGCATCCTTGCGGTACTCGCAGCTGCATATGGTTGGGTCCTTCGCCAGGCTAATTTACAAGGGAAGGCGTGGTGTCACCAAGCTGCGCCCTGGCCCCCGACTTACATCAACAACGGCTCGAGCCCGATACTTCTTCATTATGTATTTTAATCGCTTCGCTCATTCCGCCAGCCCATTTCGCATCACTGAGGCTGCGTGGCGGTGTGCTCGTGCCCAGGGAGAACGGTGGGGCAGGCAGGACGGTCTTCGAGGAGATCTTTGGAGATGCGGCTTGCACCGTGTCGAAGAGAGCCGCAAGACTGCTCCAGAGAGCGCCAAGATAGCTCAAGGGAGCTCCAGCAGAGTTTCGAGACATACATGGGTTGTGGGTCAACGACCTCATGGATGCCTCTTGGGGTCTGTTCGGAGGGAACCTTTAGGGAGCAGTTTAAGACCTCTGGGGAGCCTCTTGGGGGCCTCTTTGGCCGTCCTTGAGCGCTGGGAAGCCGAACATATGAGAACGGCAAAATCTTTCAAACACCGAAGGGAGATCGATGGTTTTTGCTTCCTGTAGCCCTCTTGAGACGCTTTTGCGAGGCCTCTTTTGGCGTCTTGGGAGCCTCTTGCGGCCGAGGGCTCGAAATGTCCGTTCGGGTTCCCCGTCTAGCCCCCTCTGGGGGCCGTCCTGGGGATATCTTGGGCCGTCTTGGAGGCCTCTTGTGCCGTTTTGGGGCCCTCTTTGGGCACTCTTGGGGCTCTCTTGGAGGCCTCTTGGGCCGCCTTGGAGCGATATGTGGGGCCTCTTGGGCTTGAGCGTCGGGGAGCCACACAGATGAGAACGCCAACATCCTTCAAAAACTGGACGGAACTCGATTGTTTCTGCCTCCTGGAGCTCTCTTTAGACGCTTCTTCGAGGCCTCTTTGAGCGTCTTGGGAGCGTCTGCGGCCGTCTGGAGGCTATTTTGGGCGTCTTGGCCCGATCGGTCGGCGACTCGGAGCCCTCTTGGACCGTCTTGGGGACTCTTGGGGCCCTCTGGGAGCCCTCGGGGGCGCCTGAAAGCCGCGCACAGAAGGAAAACCCATCTGCGAGTAGTACTGGCCAGGGTAGTTTTCGTCCGGGGACCCCCCGGGGCCGCGCGCGCGACCCAGAAGTATTGATTACCAGAAACCGGAGATCTCAGCACGCCTCTGGCCCGTTGGGCCAGCGAATTTCAAATACGCGCTCTCGCGGGGGACATCTCATAATTTATGCAGGAGTCGTGCTCTTGCCTGGACTTCCTCGCAATGAATTCTTGCGTCGCGCCTCAAACCCTCGGGAGTCAAGATTTACTTGGGAATCGCGCTATCGCTTGAGATTTCCTCGCGATTCATATTCACTCTTCAGCAACCCGCCTGCTCGACCTGGCCGCTTGGGTTCGCCTTCCCGACCCGCCTATCAGGATCCGCCCACCCGATCTGCCCACCTGGTTCTGCCTGTCTTTTCTGTTGCTGTTGCTGTTGCTGTTGCTGTTGCTGCTGCTGCTGCTGCTGCTGCTGCTGTTGTTGTTGTTGTTGTTGTTGTTGTTGTTGTTGTTGTTGTTGTTGTTGTTGTTGTTGTGGTTGTTGTTGTTGTTGTTGTTGTTGTTGTTGTTGTTGTTGTCGTTGTCGTTGTCGTCGTCGTCGTCGTCGTTGTTGTTATTGTCGTTGTTGTTGTTGTGGTTGTTGTTGTTGTTGTTGTTGTTGTTGTTGTTGTTATTGTTTGTCGTTGTCGTTGTCGTTGTCGTTGTCGTTGTTGTTGTTGTTGTTGTTGTTGTTGTTGTTGTTGTTGTTGTTGTTGTTGTTGTTGTTGTTGTTGTTGCTGTTGCCGTCGTCGTCGTCGTCGTCGTCGTCGTTGTCGTTGTGGTTGTCGGTCGTTGTTGTTCACGTTGTCGTTGTCGTTGTCGTTGTCGTGGTTGTTGTAGTTGTTGTAATTGTCGTCGTCGTCGTCGTCGTCGTCGTCGTCGTCGTCGTCGTCGTCGTCGTCGTTGTCGTTGTTGTTGTTGTTGTTGTTGTTGTTGTTGTTGTTGTTGTTGTTGAATACTCACTCCTAGAGAATAATTGCTGTTGATCTCTGAAAACGAGGCTCTCGCGCGAGCGTTGGCTTGAGTCTAATTGTGGGCCCTGGGAGGCCCAGCTACGACGACAACGGCTCCCGCTTGATACTTCCTCGCACTTTGCCCCGAAACACCCTGGCCAGAGAGGCCCCCGGCCCCCGACCTCAGGAACGGCGCTCTCGCTCGAGACTTCCTCGCAATTCAATCAAGTTGGCGGAGGCAAAACCTCGCAATTCAATCAGTTGGCTTGATACTTCCTCACTCCGAGAGCCCCGGGCCAGAAGGCCCCCGAACCCAGGAACGGCGCTCTCGCTCGAGACTTTCTCGTAATTCAGGCAAGTTTGTGGAGGCCCAGACACGGCGACAAGGGCTCCCGTTCGATATTTCTCCATAGGCCCCCTGGCCAGAGAAGCCCCCGAACTCAAGAACGGCGCTCTCACTTCAGTCGGTGGCCGACGAGATTCCGCACGAAAGAGGGTGCAATGGAAGACGAAGTGGGCGGGTATCGAGAGTTGGGGCACACAGAATGCAAGCCACGCGTGCTGGTGAGAGCGAACAATCTTAACATGATTGTTGTTGTTGTTGTTGTTGTTGTTATTGTTGTTGTAATTGTTGTCGTCGTCGTCGTTTTTTTTTTTTTTTTTTTTTTTTTTTTTTTTTTTTTTTTTTTTTTTTTTTTTTTTTTTTTTTTTTTTTTTTTTTTTTTTTTTTTTTTTTTTTTTGGATATATATATATTATATATATATATATATATATAATATATATATGTATATGTTATTCTTTTGTTTTTGTGGTTGTTGTCGTTGTCGTTTGTTTGCTGTTGTTGTTGTTGTTGTTGTTGTTGTTGTTGTTGTTGTTGTTGTTGTTGTTGTTGTTGTTGTTGTTGTTGTTGTTGTTGTTGTTGTTGTTGTTGTTGTTGTTGTTGTTGTTGTTGTTGTTGTTGTTGTTGTTGTTGGCTTCTAAAGAATAATTATTGTTGGGACCCCTGGTGCACGACCCCCCCGCCGCGCCTAGGCCGCAGCCTCATTTTCATCATTTTCGTGAGGAAGTCTCAGGCAAAACGGGTTGGTCCGGATCCGGTTGTGTTGTTACGATCGGTTTTCCCTTGCAAAAAATAAGCTAAAGTGGACATTTCTTGTTCTAACATAACCAAACTTCAAGAATCCCTTGCAAAAAATAAGGTAAAGTGGACATTCGCGCGCGCAAGACGAAATCCTTCCAAAACTTAGTTTTCGTAGCGATTTTAACATAAAAACATCAAAAAACCAATGGTTTTTCAAAAAAAATTCTCATCCCGCGCGCTCTTGCGGATTCGTAGGAAACCCAACACTTTTTAATCATTTCTGTCAAACGGGCTTTTGCGAGCAACTTTTTCGAACTTCTGCAACAACGGTTGCGCACCTGCCAGGGCCATCATCCCTGTCAAATAATACCATGCGGGACACATTCGTTTTTTCTTCGCGCGCGCACGCCGTCGTCGTCGGCCGCGGGGCCCTGAATAGTAGCCACGGTCGTCCGCATGCCACGAAGTGAAGTGTCCGAACGTCATAGGGCGGGAAGCTGGGTGTGGGTGGTGGCGAAGAGTCGTTTGGAAATTTGGTAGAGCTTGAACCGGCCCCCCCACAAAGTGGGGGTATTGCCCGCCTCCTATGAAAACCCTGGCACCGGTGAGAACGGTGTGTCCCCACGTGCTAGTAATTGTTGTTGTTGTTGTTGTTGTTGTTGTTGTTGTTGTTGTTGTTGTTGTTGTTGTTGTTGGTTGTTGTTGGCATGGTGATGATGACGACGTTGATGACGATAAGGACGATGACGAGGACGAGGTGGAGGAGGAGTAGGAGGAGGGGTCAACACTCGAAGCATGATGCTCGCGTCAAGCTTACCACATCCGAGTCTCTTCTGGCCTCCGGCCTTCCTGCGCCACAGAGTGGGAACGGACACGAGGATTGAGGAATGCGCGTGTCGGGCGGGACGCCGCTCCCTGCGCGGGCGGCAGCTCCTCGGCCTTGAGCTCCCCCCCAACACAAAAGCATACCGGGAAGATGCACGGCTTGCCCTGAATGGGTGGTTCTTCTCCACTTGAGCAGCGTGCCGTGTTCCGCGCGTGGGCATAGCATTGGCGCGCATCATTCACACACGCACCAACACATGTCGGCATCGGTATTCATCATCAGCATTACTTTCGTCATCGATGTTCTGGGCTGACGGGAGAACGGAAGAGGAGGGACGATGATTTCTTCGCTCGTCTTGGTGCACTAGTCGGCTGGTGGTGTTGCGGGTCTTGACTTGCGCCGTTCTTGTGCAGTCTCAGCAAGCCGTAAGCCGATGATACTGTTATTAGGAGGTGGAGGAGGAGGAGAAGGAGGAGGAGGAGGAGGAGGAGGGCCAAGCAGTTGACATCGAAGGGATCGACGTCGTTGAAGCGATGAGCGACGTTGCTGCGCACTGCAACTCTCTGCCGCCCATCGTCTGTGATATTTCTTCGCTCCTCCACCTCTCTTCCAATCAGTATCGTTTAAACGACCCCCATCTCCATCCTCATCCCCTTCGAGACCCCCACCAAATTACCACCCCACTTGGGGATGCACCCCTCGAAACCCAAAGGGAACGGCCTATATCCCATCTAGGGGGGAAACCGTCTAGTGGGGCCCAGGCCACGCCGCTGGGGATGGGGATCCGTTAAACGATGCTCACCCAACGTCCACCCTTTCTCCCTTCAGTTCTCTCCTGGTCGATTTCCCCCCTCTGGTATTGACTTTGTCCCACTGCTCTCCATGGCCCTTCCTCTGGCGCCCACTTCTGCCGTTCGTGCACTTCTTTTCCTGCTCCTCAGCGTGCGTCCTCTGAATACACCGCAGGGCATCTGCCACCTGTAGCCCGAGAGCCTCCGAAGGAGCCGAGGGACAGAAGGCACGGCCGGCATCCCAAAAGGGCAGGGGCGGGTGATGAGGGGGCTGAGGTATGAAAGGGAGGAGGGGGAAGAGGAGGAGGAACCGGCTATCCCACGTAGTGGTTTGAGAGCTTACAAACGACCACGCGATCGCATCGTTGCTTGACTCAGGGCGTTAGGCCATACGCCAGCATCCAGACGATTCAAGTATACCCGTCTGTGCGGCGCGATCTTCTGGAAGGGAGGAGGGGGAGGAGGTGACCGAGGGACGGACAGAGAGAGAGGTGAAGGGAGGGAGGGAGGGAGGGACGGACGGATGAGCCACCGCAAATGGCTCGCGGAGACTTGCTGCCGACTCGGAGCACTTCTTCGCTTGCATGTCTTTCCGCCAAAGAGTATCTGCACTAGGGGTTCTTGTTTAAGCTCCAAAGAGCAGGTGTTGAGATCCTTATTGTTCGGCTTTGCGTGAGTTCTTTTGGATTCCCGCCCCACTGGCCCTACGTGGCCCACCGTTTCCACTGAGTGATTGGATCCCTACGGTTCGATTTCCTATGAATGTGCATGTCTTCCCGCCCCACGGCCCGTGTGCGGCCCCTGGTTTCCAGTGGTTGGTCGGATCCCTCACGTCTTGGCTTTCCTTTCGATGTCTAGTGCTTCCCGTTTATCTGGCCACGTGTGCCGTAGTGTCTCCAGTGGGTGCTTGGATCCAAATGGCTTGGCTTCCTGTGGATCACGAATTTCGGTTTAGTCGCAATTGGTGGCACTATTTCCAGTGAGTGCTTAGATCCCAGTGGCTTGGCTTTCTGTGTATCTGGCCATGCATATCGCACTTGATATTGTTTCTTCTTCGTCCCTCCGTAACGCTTGTCACGGGGGGTCTGGTATCTGCAACGATCGTACGGCGGGCGGTGGCGCGAACCCCCCCCGTGCGCGCGGCTGTCGCGATGTACACATCGGCGGCGTACACAGGCGCTGTTGTGCACGCAGGCGCTGTGGCGTACACCAGCACTGTGTTACATGCGGCTGTTGTGGTGTACGCAGGCTCTGTGGTGCGCGCAAGCACGCCTGCCTAGGTGACAATAGAAGATGATGTCCCTCCCTCCCCCCATCGTTCTCTCCTCACAGGCCCTGGTTGTGCTCGCGGGCTACTGTTGTTCTTGCACGCCGCGGTGCTCTCAGGCTCTTGTTCTGTTCGCATCGCAAACGAACAAAAAGAAGGAGGGGGAGCAGCTGCGAGTGCAACAGAGCGGGGAGGAAAGAGGTACCAGACAACGGTTTGCATTCTTCCACGCCTCGATGTGCCAGGGGCCCACGGTGGCGGATCAAGCGGCTGCCGGCGGCGCTCAAGGTTGCGACGCGCCTTGGGGGGGTGGGCCTGTCGGGCCCGAGGGCTTTCAGAAACGAGCCCGCGGTGCGAAATCATGGTTCAAGATCGGGCCGAGACCTTTGGTTGCGCAGATCGTTCAAGATTGATCCACGCGGTGTTAGATAGCAACGCCCCCCCGCCCTCCTCTCTGCGTCCTCGCGAGTCTTGATGTTCGCAGGCAGCGAGGTGCACAGGCAACGCGGTGTACACGGGCAGTGCCGGTCAAAAACCGGGGGACCGCGCCCCGGGCCACAAAAGTCAATACTCACTAATAAGTGACATACGTTCGGGCCCCTGGTGGTGGCATGGTGTGCGCGTGCGCTCTACTGTACGCGGGCGCTGTGACTGCTGTGCACGCGGCGCTCCACGCGGGTGCTGCTTGCGGCCTACACAGGCGCTGCGGTTCACGCGCACGGCTACAGCGGTACATACGGCAACGGCTCTGTGATGCACACGGCTGTTGTTGTGTGTGCGTGCCATGTGGGTGTACACAGGCGCTGTGGTGCACGCGGGCCCTGCGACGCAGGCACTCAGGCGCTCCATTTTGGTGCACGCAGGAGCTGTGGAGCACGCGGTCGCTGTGGTGTACACTGGTGCTGTGATGGACACGGCTGCTGTGGTATACACAGGCGCTGTGGTGCACACACGCACTGCAGTGTGCACTGGTGCTGTGTTGCACACGGCTGCTCTGGTGTACACGGGCGCTGCGGTGTACACAGGCGCTGTAGTGTACACGACTACTCTCGTGTACACGGGCGCTGCGGTGTATACAAGCGCTGTGGTGCACACACACGCACTGCAGTGTGCACCAGTGCGGTGTACACGGGCGCTACGGTGTACACAGGTGCTGTGGTGCACGCAGGCACTGCGGTGTGCACTGGCGCTGTGTTGCACACGGCTGCTGTGGTGTACGCAGGCGCTGCGGTGTGGACAGGCGCCGTGCACAGGCGCGGCGGCGCACGCATGCCCACCTCCGCCCCTCCACCCCCCCGCCCCCACCCCAATCGTTACCATTACCCCCCCCTCCGGCCCCCCCACCGCCCGTAACAGACGTTACGGGCCCAGAATAGAAAAAAAACGCTCTCCTTGTTTTGGTGGGTGCTTGGATTCCAATGGCTTGGCTTCCTCGGGTTCCGCACCTAGGGGTGCACACCTAGGGTTCCACACACTCGTGGTCACGAACACGTAGGGTTACACACATAGGATTCCGAACTCAAGGCTCCACACACACATGGGGGTTCTAAACGCGTGGGGTTCCACACGCCAGGTACTAAACGCATAGGAATCCACGCGCACAGCGTTCCACAGAGGTCGGGTACCACACACACAGGGTTCCACATACGTAGGGATCCGCATACACATAGGGCTCAACGCACAGTGCCCCACCTACGTTTCCGTATAGACGGGGTTCCACAAGTAGGGATTCACACATTTTGTGCGGATGAACTTTTGGAGGCCCATACGCTGGCATCATTCGATGGCTGAGGCTGACTCGGCCAGCTCCGGATGGCCCAGCGTGAGGGTGCACTGGTGACAGTCGATCGCTCGCCACCTTCGCGTCCTCACGTCTTTTCGGCAGCTCGCTACTACATCTAGTTCTCGACGGGCACCACCTGTTCAGCAGAGCCGGTGACCGATAGGGCCCACCTGGGCCCAGGAACCGCCCACTTCCCCCCCCCCGGGTACACAATTCAGCCCCAGGGGTCTGGGGAAGCCTGAACTTCGTCTGGAAAATTTTAGCATCGTCTCGGTGTCGCTTCTGGAGTACCTCTGGGCGGATCCAGGAGGGCCCGAAGAGGGCCCGCAGAGGCTTCGAGAGGCCCCACGGAGGCGCCCTTATGCTCCCACGAGCGCCCCAAGAGGCCTCCAGACAGCCCAAGAGAGCCACAATACGGCCCAAGAAGGTGCCAAGACGGTCCAGCTCTCAAACAGCCCCAGGACGTTCAGACAACCCAAGAAGGTTCCAGAGGCTTCCAAGGCCCCAAGACAGCCTCAGACGGTCCCAGCAGCCTCCAGGGAAGCCTAGCCGCGAAGGGTCCCAAGGAGCCCCCACTTCTTCCACGTCCTTTCTCCTCCTGTTCCTCCTCCTTTTCTTCGTCGTCCTCCTTCTTGTCGCTCATATTTGTTGTGCTCCTCCTCGTTGTCCTTATTTTTCTGCTCGTCGTCCTCGTTGTCCTCCTCCTCGTTGTCCTCGTCCTCGTTGTGCTCCTTGTCCCCATTTAACTTCTTCGTCGTCCCCTCCTCCTTTTCTTCGTCGTGGCCCAGTACGCCTTCTTGAAATTGTACAGCATTATATCATACAGGCAGACGCCCTCACGCCAGCTGGAAAAACCCGTCATCAGTGTAGTCCCCAAGTCCAGGGTCTCAATTGGCGCTTTCACACAATTATCGCCTGATCTGCACAATATCGGTGCTATCCTTCTGTACAATATCTCCACGATATGTGCACAATATCTGCACAATTATATTTTGGCGCGCATTTGGCGTGTCTGCTTCGTTGTGCTCACGCGTCCTACTGGATGCATGGCTTCACTGACTGTCTGCACAAAATCGATGCTATACCAGCTCTTCAGCCGAGTACTGTACAACAGGCTACAACCAGCTCTGGACCGACAGGAGCCTGACGAAAGCTGGCTTCCGCCCCAGCTGGGGCACGCGCGACCACCTTTTCAAATTCAACATCACACGTGAATTGGCAGCTGAGTTGAATCAGAACCTCTGGGTTGCAGCAGTGGACCTAAAAGGCTTTTGTCAGTCGAACACGGCAGCTTGTGGGCAGCTCTACTTCACCGAGACGTCCCACCTGAGTGCATCGACCTTCTCCGGCGTATGCACCAAGACCGAATGGCGGATGCCCGCACCGACACCACCAGCTATTTTTTCGACCTCCGACGCGGCACAAAGCAAGGATATCCCCTGATTCAGTCCTGTTCATCGCGCTGCTCTAACACGTATTCTAACACGTATTCGCTTCATTGATCTCATATACGCACAGACGGCACCAAGGGCTCTAGGTGGGTCAGGCCGACCTCGTCCACACTCACGAACCTTCGGCTCGCAGGCGACATCTTGCTGACGAGCAAGACATTACTGCCCAATTTATCAGCAATGCTTTCGGACCTCATCGTCGCAGCCAAACCACGTTTAATCGAAGTGCACCCGACCAACATCAAAATCATGACCAAGCAACCTCGGAACTGCGACCAAGTGGCCAAAGTAACAGGATTGGTTTTCGACATCTTGCCACGAAGCAGCACCATCATCTATCTCGACCAGACCCTTACTTTCCACGACGCCCCCGAAACCGACGTAAAGCACTGTTTTCAAGCAACATGGGCATTCCTCAGTGGCCAGACACAAGCATTCACCATCAAGCACTTCCGCTGGAACACCACTTGCGATTGTACAGGGGCACCGTCATACAAACGTTATTGTACGGCGGATAAATGTGGACTCTGACAGAGCTTCTCGTACCACAATTTCGCCTAACACACTGTCTGAGGTTCAGAATGTTTTTGGGCACGCCAACTGCGACGTCGACGCCGCGCCTCAACCCAGCAACAGGTCGAAACAACAAGTACGACATCACCGACACTGTCCCAAACCCTCAACTAATTTCACGTTTGCAGCGCACCGCCTGGCCACCAGGCCACC